TAAGAGTTGATTCGAACCCAGCGGCATGTAACAACAACGATGGAAGATCATGGGTGGTACAGAGGGTCAAGCATTACCTTGAGTTTAAGAGAGAACAGTCACTGAAAACCATGTAAAGTACTGTTCTGCTCTGAAGCATAGAGGGTCTCCATGAGTTGTAACTGACACAAGGTCAGTTGGAAATGGCAGGGGAGGTATGAGCAAAAGACCTTGGCAGGTAGCTCCTCAAATCCCACAGGTGAGTTTAATTCTAAAAATGACAAACTCAAGGTCATACATTATCAATGAGCAGCTGATGAGGGAAAAGAAATTGAAGCTGCCGAATGACAAGATAAGTAAGAAGAGTCTTATATTTTCTTCTAACTAAGTAACCCTGATCCTTCCCTGCTGCTTTGTTTGCCAGATTAATTCATTCTGAAAAGCTTTAAAGATGTCTGGTATATAGCTAATAATCAGCTTTGAAAAACAAATCATTAGCCTCTTTCTCTTGCTGTCAAAGTCCCTAAAAAGATCCCTACCCCCACCCCCACCCCATTTTAAATGACTTCTAGCTCACTTCGGAACCAAAGCATAAGATGCCTTTGAAGCTACAGAGAGCAGCAAGTGTATGTATTTGTCAATGGTTTATTAGTTGATAAACTGTAATTGGCATATCACACTAAGAGCCTCAAAAGGGAAATTAAAGTTGTAGCTAAACTTCCAGTAGTAGCTCAAATTAAAATAAATACATCAGACATTTAAAAATAGAAACGTCATTATCCCTCAACAAACTCACATGTTGATGCAATTTAAAACAACATTATAGCTCTCCCAAATGAAGCAAGGATTAGAATAAGCCAGAGTCCATGTGTAAAAAAGCAGCTCTGTGGACAAGCTCTGGTGGCCTGGTGGCAAGAAGCTGCAGTGCAATCCCAGAGGTAAGCGGTTTGAATCCACCAGATGATCTGCTGGAGAATGAGGTATAATCTCCTCCTGTACCAGTCAGATCCAATTTGATGGTACACACACAAAAAAAGAATAAAAATGATTTAAAAAGCAGCTCTGTGAGTTGCCATCCAGTTGGCCTCAACTAATGATGACATCATGGGTACCCCTTGTACGTGCTGAGAGTAGAGATGCATGTGACAGCATGGCTTTAGTATGCAGAGAAATACTGGCTGCTTTAAAACAACAGCAAAAAGATACATCAAATGAGTTTCTATACATGATAAATGAAGCAAGAAAAAAAATATTAGGTGTGTGAACTTAGATATGTTCAATGTTTCTTTAGTAAAATTCTTCTCCAACGACATTTGTTATGACTTAATATTCTTTGGAGTGGCATCCACTTCCTAAATAGCATGTCTCTGGAAATTCTATGAAGTTTGATAGATACCGATAGTTGTAGAGGAGCTTCAAGCCTTTTGTTCATAGGGTCTCTACGAGTCGTGCTTGACTCGAAGGCAATCAACAACAACAATGTTCTTTGTAAAGCTTCTTCCAAACCAAATATATATTTTGATGTTTAAAAAAAATACAAAGATCATCGATTAGCAAGCTTGAAATAAGTGTTTGTGTGTGTGTGTGTGTGTGTGTGTGCGCGCGCGTGCGCGCGTACACACACACACACACACACACACACAATTACCAATCCAGATTTGTCTGTTTACTATCTCAGGGTCATATGCCTGGATGACACAAAATGAATAATCATAGCTTATAGAACAAGCTTTACCATCAGCCTAAAGTAGGAAAATCAAAACCATCCAGGAATGTAGTACTCGGATCATTTTGTGAGCCCTTCCTTCTTTTTCAAGAGACCCGGTGGAGTTGAAATGTGCCACCCGTTCCCCTAATACAAATTGATGGAGAAGCCCACATCCAGGAGGGAGGAATGTTGAAATTGAGTTGTCAAGCTGTCCTGGATGTCTTGTACAAACGGAACAGGCCAATTTACTGCAACACTGCGTAGACTGAAGGCCCCTATCTCCCCTTTCCAGTTGCTTTCTCCTGGTAAGATTATCCCGCCCCACCACAGGCTCCCTCCCCAGCAGCTCTGTGGCTGCTTCTATTTCCCTCTGATAGCCTGTCCCAGGTAACAGTCTTGTGCTAATCCTTACCTGAGGAACCCAGGGGCCCAGTGGTTGCAGCTCTCAGGGGCTGAAGCCACTCTCTGCTCACAGGTGAAAAACGTGGCAGTCTGATTCCAAAAGGATTGATGTCCAGGAAACACCTTCCTACCATGACCTATAGAGGGTTCCTATGATTTGGAATAGACTGGGGGTGGGAGGTGGGGTGGTGGTGGTCTGTTTTCACCCCTGTGTTGGAATCATCATGCTCAACTAGGAAGAGGAGATGTTTTATCCAGAAAAGTGAAAGCAGCCGTTCTGAGTGTTTTATGATGTTTTTTTGAACAGTACTAAATTATCTCTGGGCTTCAAAGAGGTTATTCCCAGTTTAATCATAGCAAATGAAGGAAAACTGGAAATAGCTCACCTTGCTAAAATGTGGGAGCAAAAATGACAATTGATACAGAAAAAGTTGCAGGTCAACCGCTGAGGAAACTTTAATCTCCCTCTTCCTAAACAATGGCAGGGTATGCACTGTCTAAGAACAAAATCTGGTGCCCCTTCAGGGGAACGACAGTGTCCCACTCAAAAAATGTCAGCTTCTCTTCCTGATCTGGGCCACAATCCAATACCCCAACTTACCCTTCTGACCGGGTTCACTACCCTGGTCTCCCATTCCAGTCCTTTAATCCACAATTTTTTAAAAATTCTGGTTATTGCTCCAGTTCACCCACATTTTATTTTTTAAAAGACTCAGCTCTGTTCCTGTTTTGCTTCACTGGCCATGACTGTACCATTCACCAGGCTCTGGTGGCACAGTGCAGAACACACCGGCTGCCAAGGCTGAAGCCTGGGAGGAAGCTGGCCAGTCCCATCCCATCCCATTACTGTTTCCAGCCTCTGCAATCCTCATAGCTGGTTTTTAGGGGTTACCACCAACTTGATGGCAGTGAGTTGAGTTGAGACAAAGAATTTTGAAATTATGTGCCCATGGAGTCGGAAATGACTCAGAGCTGCCCTCCAATAGGCTTTCAGAGGCTTTAAAACACATGGTAAGGAGACTGCCCATCTTTCTCACTCGAATCACTTGTCTTTGGGTTGATAGCAATTCCTTACTCATTAAGTCACCTGAACTCCCTAAATAAGCTATGCCAACCCACCAGGCACGTGCGGGACAAAAACAGGCTTTCTCCTCCCATAAAATTTTACAGCCTTGGAAATCCGGTGAGGCTGAACCCTGGCAGGGATTGTGTTTAGGTTTGGCTTAATACCAGTTTAAACCGGTTTGAAACCCTTACTGACACCAATGGCTTCCCTTTTGTAGCTCAAACTCTTGGATTCAGGATGAAAAGAAGGCAGGCCTGGGGGGGGGGAGGGGGTTGATTTTTGACAACTTCTCCCACACAGTCCCTGAGTTTCTTGGCCTATTAACCTGCTAAGGTGGGGGCTGCTGCGAGCCGCCGCCGTTCCCGCTCTGCCCTCCAGGTGGCAGCTGTGCCACGCGCTAGAGGCTGCAAACCCCTTTTCCCCGACTTGAAGTGTTAATGCAATTGACCAATCAGTGCTAAGATGATGGGAGGTAATTGGGTAATTGTATTTTACTGATCACAAGCAGAGAAAAGGGAAAGGAAAAGGGGTAAGGCAGAGGGGCCGGGAGGGAAGGGGACTGCAGTCCGAAAACAGCTTTGGGGACTCTGGGATCCTGAATGTCCGGACGTGGCAGGAGCCGGTTCAAAGGCTAGACTGAAGGTGGCTTGGCCGCCGGCACCCGGAGCGCCTCTGTTTATCCGGGAGGGGAAAAGGGAGAGGAGCGGGCAGGGGAGGACGAGAGTTCAAGCCCAAGTGGATGGCAGGGGCCCGGGGTCGCCGCCGCGCTGGGAGCCGCGAGCCGGGGCGATGACGCGAAGGACGGAGCGGAGCAGCTGCGCCCCCGGGACCCGCCGGGCCGCCGAGCACCGTCCCCGGCGTCTGCGAGGGCTGTGCGCCCGGGAACCAACTTGTGGCTCGGAGATGCACCGGGCGCTGCTGGAGACGAGATCAAAGCTGCAGCTTGACTCCGGGAGGAGGAGCGGAGCCAGCGATTAGGGGACCTTCCCCGCGCCCTGCCTCTGTATTCCACCCCCCTTCTTGTTTTTTTTTTGGGGGGTTGGTTCCCCCCCGCCCCCCATTGCATTCCTATTATCCGTTTCACTTGCCGGACAGCCCCTCTGTCCCCTCTCTCCCTCCCTTCCCCGTCTGAAATAAAAGCCCCGTCTGAAGTTCTCTTGGCCGCGTCGCCCCCGGATCGGCTGCCGCCCGCGGATGGAGGAGAAGGGGACCCCGGGGCTGGCGGGGACCGCCGGCGAGGGGCGGCGTCACGCGTCTCCCCCGTGATCCGGGCCCCGAGCGCCCAGTTCGGCGGCACCTGGAGGATCTGGAGCGGGGGCCCGGGGTGGGGGCGGGGACCGAGGACGAGAAAGCCACCCCGAGCCTTAAAAAAAAGAAAAAGAAGAGGAAGAAGAAGAAGAAGAAAAAAAAGTAGCGAGTGGGGGGGAGGCCCAGGGCCGCTTCTTGACAGCTGCCAGAGCCTTGAAATTTTCCTCCACCACCTCCGCCCCCGCCCCGCGCACTCCGTTTACCGTGAGATTATGAAATAGCAGAGGCGGCGGAGGGAAGGCGCCGGAATCCAGCCGCGAGTGCGCCGGGGAGACGGCACGGTGGCCGGCCGGGGGCTGGAACCCAAAGCCCAATTGCGCACTGGGTTGTGATTAGAAATCTAATCAGATCTCTCTCGGAGCTGGGGCCGGCCGGAAGGGTGGCGCGTGGGGGGGAGTTGACCCCCAAATTCTTCCACGCTGGGGGGGCTGGGGAGAGTGGAACCACCGACGATGTGAACGGAGACTCTCCCACCCTCCGCCTCCCTATTTTTTTCTTTTTTTTTTCTTTTTAAATTTTTGTGTGTGGTTTTTTGGATTTTTTTTTGGGTAGCGGTGGCGGTTGGGTGCCTTTGCAAAAATGAAGGATGCGGGACGCAGCCCTGTCTCAGAAGCGAACGCAGTGGAGAAACTGAAGGTGCAAGAGAGAGGGAAGAAGGACGCTTTTCCTTGTGGGACTTGGAGCTTGCCACCAATGTGTAGACGTGCACACAGGGCGCACTGAAAAAAATGAAATAAACCCGAGTCAGATCCGCGGGGGTTGGTGTGTCCTGACATAAATAAATCACAATAAAACAGCTGCCCCCCTCCCCCCCTCAACAAAAAACAAAAAAGGATAATCGGAAATGGAGAACCGAGGATTCAAGAAGAAAAAGTGTGTTCTTTTTTGCCAATAAAGGGGAAAGTAAGCCAAGGAGATTGTTGTTTTTTTTAAAAAAAAATGAAAAATTTGAGGATTATTATTATTTTTAAACTGAACTAAAGACCTGCTGTGGTGGTATTTTCTGTTTGAATTTCCCACAAGACGAGAGGAAATTAATAATACATCTGGAAAGAAATTTCGGAGAAGAAAAGTTGACCGCGGCAGCAAGCAGCATTGATTGGGGCAGAGGAACCAGCAGCGCTCTGTTGGATTGTTCCTGTGTTGACTAAAATTGACGGATAATTGCAGTTGGATTTTTCTTCATCAGTCCTTTTTTTCTCTTCTTTTCCCTTTTTCCTCTGTTTTGGTGTCAAGATCATGCGCTTTTCTCTCATTCTTAGCCACCTGGATTCTCATCTGGACGTGCTCTGCTCAGTGGAATACAGTGAGTGATCCTTCTTTTCCTATTTATTGGTGATGAAGATGTCCATTAATTGGGCCTTCTTGGTCTTTGTATCCCCTCACCCTCTTTTCGTGTGCTTAAGGACCTGGCAGTGGGGCCCAATCATCTGGGGGAGAGTGGCCCACACATTTTCTCCATCAAGCTGTGATCCCGGAGAAGCCCATTAGCTTATAACGTTACCAGTAGTCAGCATCCCGGCAAACCAAACGTCTTTGCAAATGTTCACCAGGAAAGGGGGGGGATTACAATCTCCCCAAGAAAGCTGCTGCAGTGTGGGGTGCCATGCTGTGTGATTGACACTCCAGAATGCCTTTAAGTTGCAAGGCTGTCCTGGAGTTAGATGCACAAATTGTTTAGCCATTGGAAATCGAAGGGACCCAATTTAAGTTTCATTAGCCAACCTGACATTGCAGATCAACAGAATGTATGAACAGGAAAATATGACACCAAACCACTGAGCAGATCAAGGCTGGTTCTGGCTGGTGGGTGGCTGGTGGGAGGGAGAGGAGGAGGAGGGAGGAAGCTGGGTAACAGAGGTGGCTGCACTTTCTACCATCTCTTGCATACAGGGAGTCCGACTTAAAGTAGATTGCCTAGCTTTTCCTGCTCACCATTACTAAGAAAGGGGGGGCGCAGGGAAGGATGGCTCACTTCTACCCCACCTCCCTCCCCAAAATAAGCCCATCTAAACTAGCTGCTTCTTTGGACAATAGACTATTGTGGGTTGTTGATGGTTGGTGTCATTGACCTGGGTTTTGCCAGTAACCTCACTCTCACCAGGGCATGGCTGAGAAAGGCAGATATTTATAGTGTCTTGTGATAAGTTAGGAAAAGAAGCTGAGGAAAAGATCTGTGGTTTGAGCTCCAGTGATTGTATCTGGTTTCTTGGAGGGGAAGAGGTCCATGCTAAGAGGTGGTTAACATAGTTGAAGAGCCAGAGGGCTGAAAGGATCCCTTCTGCGCCCATCTCCTCTCTCCCTCCGAGCTGGCCTTTTCTACAGAACTCTTCTTCCTCTTCCTCTGTGCTTCCCTGGAGCCTTCTATCTGAATCATAGACCCATAAAACTTTAGAGTCAAAAGACTCCTCGGAGATTGCACGCCAATAAAGAGGAAACTGAGGCCTAGTGAAGCCATAACTCTTTGGTTAATGACCCAACACAACACTGCAGGTGACTCACAAAGGCAAGAGCAACAACAGGAGGTTCTGGGGCAAAACTGGAGAGGAGTTAACTGCACCCTCTGTGGCTGCTGTGGTCCCTGAGATTCTGCTTTTGTCCGGATGGGTCAGGGGCACAGAGCCAAGGCCTGAGAGCCGGAATGAACTCGTTCAGTCCAGTCTTCATGGGTCTCCTAGCTCAAGCATTTCTTCCTTTGCAGTTTTCTATTTAATTCCCTCTTTAAAAATTGTAATAGCAGGGTAGAGATCCTGAATATAATACGATGAAAATAAGATAGATTGCTATCCTTCCCAAAAGAAGTAGAAGAAATTCATCTCCTGGCTTTCTTCCTAGCATGTTGGGGACATTTAATCTTGTGAATGGTGGTCCCTAGGGTGTCATTAAGGGAAGATTTATATTAGCGAGGTGATTGTAGAAGCCAGAAAGACCTAGCTTCAAAGCCTATGGGTCTATTCTTTCATTCATATATATCATCTAATCTTCCCCTTTCATAACTCCTTAACTAAAGTAGCCTACAGATGAGCACTTCTGTAATTCCCCCCCCCCACTTTTGCTTCTCAGCTCAGGGATCTTGTTGAGACACAGGCCAGGCAACACATTTACCAATGTATTGAAAAGAATTTTAAAATCCCTCCCTCCCCTCCTCAGCTCACAGAAGTCTTTTTGCTTGTGTTATCATTATTCTCTGTAGGTTTTGTTTGTTTTGTTTTGCATGGCCCCAGTTAAGTCACAGTGGTGGTAGGAGGTGGACTCAAGTCCTGAGGAGCTTCTGCTCAGCCTCAGTTTACCAGGACTGATGCCATAAGTCGGGGAGGGGGGTTGGGGGTACACATTGAAACTTGTTAACTGCATAATTCAGCTCTGGACTGCACTGCACGTGGGAAACTCAGGCTTGCAATCACTTTGGCTCTGCCAATCAGGAGAGCTTTTCTGCCTTTCTGTTTTATTCCCCCATCAAGATTTCTTCACTGCTATTTCAGTTAGACCTGTAAGTGCAATATTCCCCTTCCCGCACAGCAATAACTTTCTCTTACCCTCTGTATTTGATACTCACATGCAAACTTAGAGAGGACCTGCTTAACCTGTCGGGTAGAAATGTGCCTTTCTACTTGTTTCTTTTTGTTTATATATCGTCAGCTCCGAAGACGATGGGGCATCTAAGGATGTCATCATTTTTTCATGCTGGTGAATCTCATCACCATCACACTAGGTAGGGACTCACAGCTTCTTCAGTTCCTCAGTCAGAATTGTCCTGGCATGTGGGGCACATTGTCATGGACTCAGGAAAAGTGTACCCCATGGTAGACCCAGAAACAGACCTCTCAAGTTTACTGTAGGGCAGAAGTTGGTGACTTTGTGGAATGCAGTTGTCCCGAGAGAAGGCTCTGTGAGGAGATAGTGAGATACTAGGCTTCTCCAACCCCCATAGGCACAGAAAGCTGGTGGGGTTGGAAGTTTGAAGGTCTCTTTGAATGAGTTCCTCCTCTGGTATGGCTGCCACATTTGGGCCATTACATTTCATTTCCCTGCTCTAGATTTTTTTTTTTTTTTTATCTCTATGATGGATGTGATAATACCTAATTCTGTTGGGCTGTTTGGGGAATTATAAATAATGCCATGCAAATCCCTTGGCATAATAGGCCCTCTGAGGATGGCTGTTTGTTGTGGTTATTCCTGGATTAATTTGGATTAACTCCCTGAGAATGGGTACCCATGGCCAAGCACAGTTTTAGAAGCCTCACTGTGCACTGGGGATGGTGCAAATGATGTTATTGTAGTTGCCAGCTGCTTGTTTTGAGGTCCTGTCAGAATCTGATTGGCTACAATAGATTATTTAGACATGAAATGCTGCCGCAGGCCTGAAACCGTAAATCAAGGGCCTTTTTTCACCTCCTGCAAGTATAAAAAGGTAAATCCCAAGAAACCTAACTCTTTGATGTGAGTGTAGAGGGTAAGCAGAATGCTCTTACTGTGTTTTGTGTCTACTCCGGATCTAAGTAAACATAAAACAGTTCTTGAATTTTAAAGGCTTATTTAGTCTGGACTAAACGCTATGGAGTCTGGACCGAACCTGCCTAAAAGAAAGGCACACTTTCAGCCAGTTACATAATTTCATTTAGATCGTGCAAAATTCTGCCACTAAGTTCACAATTCTCCGTGCAGGTGAAGCATTCTGCTTCACTTGGTCCTAGGGTAGCGTTTCAGTGGAGTGTGTGAAACCAAGAAAATGTAGTCTGGATGTGTATGCCTTGTGGTTGCCGTGTGCAAGTCACTTTTCAGCATCAGCTGGCCAGTGGTTTCCTGAGGGAGCCAACATACTCATTGCTCGTTTTGTTTTCTGCAGAGGCCTCCCTGTCCTGTCAGTTTCATCAGTCTACTTCCGGGGACTGATTTCCCTTTTAAGGAGAAAGAACTACTGTTGTAATAATTGTTCTTATTCTTGGTATCCTATCGCTACCTGATTATAGTCCTGTGGTAGGCTGGCAGGTGGTTCAGTTTTTACTCTTTTTTTTTTTTCCAGATAGGAAAACGGTTTCAAACAGGCATTACTTTGGGGAAATCCCTAAAGTTGACTGTTTACAGCTAATTTCAAGAAAGAAAAATCATTGTTGGATTTCTGGCCTCATAACTGCTTAAAATATGCTCTCTCTCTCTGCTGCTTCTAGATGATGAGAACGTTGGTTAAAACTTGGCCCTGGGCATTGTGAATAAATGCAATAGTAAGTTTTCTACCTGGGCACTTCAGTCTCTCCGGGTCATTTGCTTATTGGTAAAATGCAGCAGTAGCAAGCACGTGGAGCTCTCTGGCGCGTAGCGCACAGCAGGAGCTCAGTAAATGCACATTTAAATCGGGCATCCCTGATTTTGTGTTCGTGTTCTGGAATGCAGTTTGCAAACAGAACGAAACAAAATTTCCTCATTTGAGGAAAGTCGCTAATCTAAGTTCACATTGCTATAAGATAAAGAAGAAAGCATAGGATTAAGATGAGAGTAGTATAGACCTATATACAACCATTTTCAGTACAATTCTAAATTTACAATTTAGGGTAACAGTTCTCCCAGAGTGGATTCTTTGGTAGCTAAACGTCATCTTCTCTTTGATACAAAGTAGAGAGTCCCCACTTGCACCCTAGCCAATCTCATTCCCTCAGGAATTGACATATCCTTTATGAGTGGTACAAAATATACATGGTGATCATGTAAAGTGTTGTCATGTAAGGTGTTTTGTAAGGTAATCATAAAAAAATAATAGACTGGTTGGTAAATGGTGTCTTAGAAGAGTCTCTAAGGAAATCAAGAGCCTGTTGCATTATTCTTTTCTTCCAAAATGATTTCTCTGTAAAAATGTGAATTTGCTGTTTTTTGGACCTGCCTTTGGTGGAGATAGTGTGTTTATAATGTTGTATGAGGACAAGGAGTGGTTTTAGTTCTTTCTCTGGTGTGTCCTCTGTACCACAGAAGAGAACCTGACAAAGAATACATATCGAATGATTGGTTGAACTTCACTTAAGAGGCACATCTCCAAGGGACGCTAATTAATATCTTTCTTGTGTCTATGCACATGCATGTGTAGACTTGTGTGGACACATACCTACATCCAAATTCCTGACCTTTCAGGAATCTGTAGAGCTCAAAGAAATAAAAATTGTATTTACAAATAAGATTTGCTTTGTGTGCGTATTTGTGTGACATATACATGGTATATTAATTTTATATATGCAATATATAAATATATGTTACATAATATCTATGTACACACATTCAAGCAAACAATACTGATAAGTGCAGGTTTTTAAAATGATA